GCGGGAGCACCGACCTCACCACAGTACTCGGAGATGAACTCGTTCTTCTGCACAGATTCCTTGATGAAAGTCCCCCAGCCGGCGACATCCGACGGTGCCAGCAGCAAGTGCTGGAGCCAAGGGAAGAAGGAAGCGGTTACGGTCGGCCGGCCCCGTGCCTCCCAGCACCCGGCAGCGGGCAGACCAGAAAGCAGCCGCGAAGAGCGCTCTGCCTCCCGGCACGGCCGCACACGCCGGGGTTAGGGCAGGAACAGCCACGTCGTGCTGGCTGCCACGCTCGACGTCCCAACATCACAGGGTCAAGGAGCAAAGGGGAGCCAGTGCCTGTCCAGCACCCCCCGGTTTAAGGGGGCACACGGCTGCCTACAGACCTACAGGTCATAGCACCGTTAGGCTGGAGCTGCACATTACGTGACACCCGTTAATTTGCATCTTTCTCTGATTTTTTGTCTTTTTGACATGCAATCACTTGCCCTGACCAGCAGAATTCGAGACTAAACCTTTCTCCCAGTCACTTCTTATGCTTCCTTGCTCTCATCCTTCCTCCTGTAACTCCCATCTCCTGAATTTCACTCCATAATCGTACTCCAGATTAGGTGCTATGGAAGCCTGGGGCAGAGCAGCTTCTCCTCCAGGTCTCCTCACCCAGGCAGCTGCAGGTGGCTCGCACACCCTCTCCCACGCAGCAGGAGCTGTTTACCAGCTCTACGCCAAGGCAGCCCCTGCCAGCAGTCCAGAGCCATGCCGCTGCCCATACCTTTTTGAGACCTCGCTGGATGCTGCAGTTCTTGCAGGAGACCACCTTGCAGTCCCAGTGCTCCGACGCACCGCAGGTCAGGCAGAGGTCGGGATCGCACTCCCGCACGGCCAGGTAGCACGGGCACTGCTTGGTGTTGCACTGGGTTTTGCAGCGGCAGCCTGGGAAGCGGTTCTGACCTGCAGCAACACAACCCATGGTTTCGCACCGTGAGGTTTCTCAGAGAGCAGAGGGGCCCTGTGGTGCCGCTGCCCCGCTGAAGCTCCTCCCAAGCCAGGTCTCACCCTGGCCCAGAACTATGCCTGCCTGCCCAGCACCCTCCTAACATAGGGAAGGTGTCTTTGTGCTGATAAAGAGCTCTACATCCACTCTGCTCTGGGCAGCAGAGACAGGAGCCCCCAGCCCACCTTCTCGCCCCCCGAAGCCCCCAGGACAGGGAACGTGAGGCAGCCTGGGCACCCAGGAGCTCCAAGTACCCAGAAACACTCTGCTTACACCTAGCAGAGCACGGACCCTACACAGGGTCCTTCCCGTTGGCACGGCTGGAGATGCTGGTCTGCCTCTTGCCACTGATTACATGCAGTTTGAAATAAGCCACTCTGATAAGTGTAACTGATCAGTACAGAGAATCCTGGAGCCTGAGTCGGCTCCCCTTCACCCTGCCCAGCCCTGAGCTGTGTCATAACCCCTAACGAATCCACCCTCAGAAGCCCCGCTGATGTGGGCAAGCACGGTTATCTCCATCGCAGAGCTGTGAATGGAAGCCCAGGAAGGAAAAATCACCACGGCAAAGCAGTGACCCGGCTCCCACCCTAACTGCTCTCAGGGACCCAGCAGCATCACCCACAGGTGTTTGATGCTGCACACAGACATGGGGACGAGCATTCTCTCACAAGAGCATGCATCTCGGCTGCTGAGAGTCACGGGGCTGCACGGAACAGCTTCCCTTTGGACTTGAGCAGACTGCGAATCAAACTGCTGCAGGCGGACACAGCAGTGAATGCAGGAATAAAGCAGGTCCCCAGCAAGTCCAGCTCTGCACCCGCCCCCTGATCTGTGTCGGGAGAGCCGGCTGCTTTCCCACCCGGCTGTCCTCGGTTTCTCCTTACAGTCAGGGTTGCACTGGCAGAACTTCTCACAGAAATTCTGAGTCATGATGCAAGGGCAGGAGCTGTCACAGGGATGCTCGGGGTGGTCACAGGGCTGGTAGTTGTACACCTGGGTAGGCGAGTTATCTAGGACAAGAGGAGATGCCCGGATCAGAAGCTGCACGTTGCAGAAACGTTTAGGAGCAGCACACCCAGGCCCCGGAGCAGGGAAGGTGCAAGCTCCCCGTTTGCCTGCAGAGGGCAGGGAGCCCAGCAGCACCCAGCACCCGCAGACACACGGCTGCCATCACCGACACATGGTGCACGTCTGCTCTGCCCCAAGCAGCCCATCTGGCTGCAGGGCTGCACGCCAGACCCCAGCCTCCCCTCCGGCCCGAGCAACA